ATTGTCCATTAAAGTGATAATTTTTTCCACAATTGGTTATAAAATTTGTTTCTATTGCCAAAAAACGAAAAAAAAAAATTGTTTCCTAAAAAATCATTTTTTTAATCAAAATTTAGTATTTGTTTGACTTTATTTTACATGAAAATTGTCCATTAAAGTGAATTTGTTTTTTTACAATTGGCTTTTGTTTCCATTTAAAAAAAAAAAATTGCAGCAGCCGACTGGAAAAGGTGGGAATTATTTTCAAGCAACAAGGAAAAAAGTGATGTGGCGGGTGGGGAGGGAAAATTTGGTAAAAGTTGATAAATGGAAAAAAATTTCCTAGTTCTATGGAAAATCTTGTATGTCAAACATGGCCTAAATGAAAAGAAAACACACATCTTGGAAAATAAACTGAAATATCAATTCTCATATATATTTTTTTTAATCCAATGAAAGGGGAAAAAGAGAAACAAAAAGTATGGAAATAATATAATGATACAAAGAAATAGGAAAAACCAAATTTAATTAAATCGACTGTCTGTGTTGTTCCCTTCTTCAATTCATTTCCTTAACATGTAACATCCAATAATTATACCAAAAGAACATGTAATTGAAAAGAATTAATATAAATGAATGCAGAGAAAGAGGTAGAAGGGAAGAAATCAAATTTTCAAGAATATAGAGCGGATGACAAAGAATCTGCATCGACGCTCATTTTCGTGCGATTCTTGGCGGTAGTGTTGCTAGGGTTTCATGAACTCAAATCTCAACGATGGCTGGAGGAATTAAAGGGTTTTGAGGCGTGAAATTTGGGAAAGGAAAAAGATGGTGAAGAAATGATAAAAAATATGGTGTAGTTTTGTATGATAATGGAGAAATGTTGCGTAAAGTGAAAAAAATAATAATAATTATGACGACAATAAGAAATCGCGACACATGGCATGTCAAGTTTTTGCCTCTTTTATTTTATAGTGATGACAAACATTTTTTTTTCCTAATCTAATAATTTAATGTGTACATCACAAAGAACGGATGATGCCTATATCTTTGATTTCATGGAAGCCTATGATTTTATAAAGAGGAAATTACACCTACACTTGCTATTAGATTTTCAATTTCACAAATCATATCACAAGTTTAATTTTTCAAATATCAGGTTTTTCATATTTAATTAAATATTATTTATACAATTTCATCCTATTTAATTTAATCCCAAATCAAACCCTAATTCATTTCTCCCTCTACCGTCTCTCGCGTCTCATCTCCTGTCAAACCTGTTCCTTCGCCTCCGCCGCCGCTGCAGCAGCGACCACCGAATCTTCCTCCCCTCCCTTCCCGTTCCTGTTCCCCTCTCTCTCCATTTCACTTCATCGCACCCTCTATCAGCGCCGATGACCAGAAACCTGAAGCTAAGAAAACTTCATCGTCTCACTGGTGGACACCGCCATTCGGGTTATCGTCGAACCCGGACTATATACAGTCCGACGATAAGAAGAGAAACCCGAATCCGATACAGGCGAGGTCTTAGTTCACTCCGGGCTCCTTCACGTCGTCGTATTGAGATGTAACCCGAATCCGAAAAGGCGAAGCAGCTCCGGTGGAAATCTGGACTCGCCGAATGCGGAGGCTGCTCTGGCTGCAACTTCCAATAATGGCAGTTGTAGGCTGTGTCCGCGTTGGTGAGGTTGGGCGCTATGAATTGAGAACTTGAAGTTGGTGGAGGACGGTGGTTTTCTGTGCGTTTTCGGTCGTTTTCTGTGCGTTCTGTGTGTGACCAATAATGGTTTTTGGTTGTGGTGTGGTGCAG